AAGTATACGGACTGTTTATCGAGTAAATGAGGTTGCTTTGTTGAGTTTTATGTTATTAAAAGTTATAAAATGATTATTTAATTATAAGATATTGTTTTGTTGAGTTGATTGATGATTAAAAGTTGCAAAATGGTCACCTGACTATTTATATATTTTAAATTTGTTTTTTTGGTAAAATATCGGTGATCATTTGAGCAATATGTTAATTTGTTGATGTGAAATGAAAAACAATATGATCTCATAAATGTTTAAGTTATATTTTGTGGATTGAGTCTTTGTTTACTTTACGATGTTGAGTTGGTGCTTGAAACATTATGTCGTCGAGCTACTTCTTAAAAGCAACAATAGCGCCAGTAGACATCATTACAATATAATTTTATTGTATTCCAATCAATAGGGAACATATGAATAGTTAAGAGATTATTTTGTAATTTTTAATAATTAGGGGACTTGATAAAACAACGTCTTATAGTTGGAGGACTTAATAAAATAGCACCCTGTTGTCAGGCAGAAATAGACGTATGATATTTATATTAGGGGACGAACTTCTAAATTTTTTTTAAAAATAGCGAACTAATAAAATTTCAAGGGTGAAAACATATTTTCAATAAAAACACACATAAATTTTAAAATATATAGTAATTTTAAATTTTTAAGAGACGATTAATTTATATGCTCTCTTTAAATCATCCTCGTAATTAATGGAACATTTGTATATTTTACCCTTATTTTGGGTTTGAAAGGAAAATAAATTGTAACTTGGAAAAGAAAAAAGCACAGTCAAATATAGGTAAAGTAGATGGGTTAACATGGAATTTAGTACATTATGGAACTTGGAAAAGAAAAAAGCAGACTCAATCCCCAGGCACACGTGTAATGGCATATGAAAATTCAGATTATATTATTATTTTAATCAACTTCTTCAAGGATAAGAACGTAATGTCTGACGTGACAATTAGGTGCCTTAATTTTAATAAAAAAATATGCATTTAAATTAATTAAACACTTGAATTTTACATCTAATAACATGTAATTGTCTTCTCTGACCATAATTAGTAATTAATGGAAAGCAGATTTTGATTAACGAAGTATACGTCATGATGATATAGGCTGCGAGTTGCCGCGTCCTCGCCTACTCAATCCCCCGGCTGCTCTGCCCTTTTAACTTTAAAGAACCATTAAACAAATAGAAGATAGGTATGATATGCCACGTAAGCGCTGGGATAGTTTATGGGTAAAGTACAACGAATGATTATTCGATTATAAAATATTATTTTGTTAAATTTATCGATTATTAAAAGTTATAAAATGATCATTTGACTATAGAGAGTTATTTTGTTGAGTCGCTTAACTACTAAAAATTATAAAATGATCACCCGACTATTCTTTATGTTCCAAACTTGTCCTTTTTAGTTAAAAAAATTAACGGTAGTGTGAGCTGGACGTTGACATATTGACTGAGATATGATAACCGTTTGAGATTATGAGATCATATTTGATCATATCTTAGTCAATAAGTTAACGTCCAACTCAGACTGCTATTAATTATTTGACAGAAAATGACGAATTTGTAACATAATGAATAGTCTAGTGACCATTTTTTAATTTTTAATAGTCAAAGGATTTAATAAAATAATTCCTTATAATCGTAAGACCATTTTATAACTTTTAATAATCAAGTACTAAACAAAATAATATATTATAGTCAATGGACCATTTGTGTACTTTACCCATAGTTTATTTGGACAAGGTCACTTTAGAATTTAGATTATGTAAACATAACAGAGTTGATTCACCATAATTCACGTGCAAATTATCCTCCTCTCAATTTTCTGCCCTTCTTCAACATCAGTTTCCTGCCATGATCCTCAATTAGGTCAACAAAATTCAACTCAAATTAAAAAATTAATTTGTCAACTTAATTTTACTAGAAAAATTTTAATTTTGAATTAATTTTGAGTCATAACTTTATAAATTTGACTAAAAAATTAAATTCGAGTCGAGTTATACAATAAAACTCGAATAATTCATTTTTTTAATAATTATTGAATTGATTTTAAAGTTTAATATATATATATATTAAAAATGAAAATATATATATGTATTTTTTATGATTTAAAAAACCATTTAAAGTAAAATTAAATAATATTATAATATTATTTTTAAAGCATTCAATTATGATTCAAAATGTCTTGCAGTAATTAAAATACTATTCTAAATTGTACCCAAAACATATACTTCGTTAAACTTTAATTCTTATTGAAAAATAGTTGTACAATGTCCCAATTAAAAATAGTAATAAAAAAACAGGACAAAGACCAAGTCAATTACGGCAGTGGAAGTTTGATATGTAGGAAAAATTGAATTTAACAAAAATAACAATTAATTTTTTATTAAAAGTTATGAAAATACCATCCATTATTATTTTTGAAAACTGTCTGTTGGAAGATTCTAAATTATTTCTCTTCCAAAATAATAGGGTAAAAATTATATGAATGATCCCCCGACTATAAGATATTACTTTATTGAGTCCCTCAATTATTAAAAATTATAAAATGGTCTCTCGACTATTCATTATGTTCCAAACTCGTCCTTTCGTTAAGAAATTATTGATCGTCTGATTTGGAAGTTAACATGCTGACTGAGTTATGATAGTCATTTGAGATTATGATATTAGATTTTATCATATCTCAATTAACATGTTAATATTCAACTCAAACCGTTGTCAAATTTTTAACGAAAAAATGATGAGTTTGGAACATAATGAATAGTCAGGTGACTATTTTGTAACTTTGAATAGTTGATGGACTCAACAAAGCAACTCTCTATAGTTTGAGGACCATTTTGTAACTTTTAATAGTCGAGAGACTCAATAAAGTAGTATCCTATAGTCAGAGGATCATTTGTGTACTTTACCCAAAAAATATCTCTATATTCCTCTTTAAATTACTTTCACTTTTTGTATTAATATGGTAAATAATCGAACATCAAAGCACCATGGATGGGGTCTAAACCTAATCCATTCCATGGGCATTAGTGTAAATTCCAAGTATTTCGGGGGTTGTTTTTTATTTATAATAAAGGGTAAACTACTTGTAGCACCCCCAAGTATTACTTTTATTATGTTTTGGTCATTGAACTATTTTTTTCTTCAAAATCATACATAACATACGTTTTAGTTTCATTTTAGTTACCAACCGTTAACAAATTAACAATAATGTTGATATATCACCATAAGATAATGACATATCATTATTGATTTTTTTTTAAAAAAAGTGTTGATATGCCACCATAAGATAATGTCACATCACCATTGATTCTTTTTTAAAAAAAACACAAGTTCTATTGATTTCTTAACGATGAATGACTAAAATGAAATTTAAACCTAACATTAGGCATGATTTTAAAAAGGGACATAATGCCAAAAATAGCTCCCAACGTTGATCAAAATGATCATTTTGGCCCCTATTCTTTTTTGGAGCATTTTGGCCCCAATGTTTCACTTTGGGACAAAAAACTCCTTTTATAGATAAAAATCATTAGTTAACACATGATTAACACTCCAAAAAAGGAGCATTTTTTAACATAAAATGATATATTTAGGGCTAAAATTCTTCAAAAAAAGAATAAGGGACAAAATGATTATTCTATCAAATGTTAGGGACCAAAATGTTCCAAAAAATAGAATATGAGCCAAAATGACTATTTTGATAAACCTTTAGGAATAATTTTGACATTATGCCTTTTTAAAAATAAAAGTTAAATAATTAAAACAGAATAAAAGTAATAGTTGGAGTACTAAAAGTGTAATTTACCCTATAATAAAATATAGGAGTTTGTTTTATTGAAAAGTCCTGTCCTAATAAAATATGGAATAAGACTTTTCATCCTCTTTCCTCCTCCCCCTATATATAGCCCTTCTCTCTCACAAGCAAAGGCAGTCTTTTTATTTTCCTCTTCATCTCCTTGTCGTTGTTTCATCAATCAATAACGTATCATCGTCTTTCTCTTTACTCTCCATCGAGCCGTTATCTTTTTCTTTCTGGGTATTTCTTGTTTTCCCGACTTCTTGTTAGTAGGTAACCATGAATGCTCTTGCTGCAACCAACCGCAATTTCCGACTGGCTGCTCGTCTACTTGGGTTGGACTCTAAGCTCGAGAAGAGTCTTCTAATCCCTTTTAGAGAAATCAAGGTATTCCCCGCAAAACCCTCTTATTCTTCCACGAATTTGATCATGGATTTCTCATGTTTTTTTTATTGAATCAGGTGGAGTGCACGATTCCCAAAGACGACGGGACCTTGGCGACATACGTTGGATTTAGAATTCAACACGATAATGCTCGTGGCCCCATGAAAGGAGGAATCAGATATCATCCTGAGGTCTTCTTTTGTTCTGTTTGGGACTTTTCGTCTTTTACATAGCTTGTTTTATGACTTGATTGGTTCTTTATGTTTGGTTTTACTTTGGTTTGTTGGGATGTACGGGTACTTCTAATTAGATAGAAAAGACAAACTTTTCTTTGGTGATTTTTCAGTGTTGTTTAAGAATTCGTAGATTTTTTGTTCCACTCTAGATTCCTTGTGGTTTTGTCATGACTAAACCGACTAATCTATGTTTGATATGCGTTGCACACCTCATTTTGATAAATGAGTTGAGGTGGGGATTTTTACATACATGAGGCCTTGAACTCAAAATTTGTGTAAACAATACCAACCTGCTTACCACTTGAACCATCTTGTGGTATAATCTTAGTTTTTTAAAATCAACATTACAGCTTTTGTTTTTTCTAATTCCCTTTTAGATCTTTTCTTTTTATTGTTTTTCTGCACCCTTCAAAAGGTAACCTTTTCAAATAAGATAATAATTTAAAGTTTAAAACTTCGAATCTGAGGAATTTGATATCAATTAAGCAAAGAATTTTGTATATTGGATTTCTGGATTTTACTCTCTTATTATGTTCTGAGGTTTAACACGCTCTCTACATTTGATTTGTTTCCACTCTTCTAAATTTCAACATGGTATTTCAGTTGTGCTTGATTTTACAGCATAAAAGAGCCAAAACATCTTTGGGATTCATAATCTATTTTTGGTGGATTTTGCTTAAAGGTTGATCCTGATGAAGTGAATGCCCTGGCTCAACTAATGACCTGGAAGACGGCTGTAGCCGACATTCCTTATGGCGGTGCAAAAGGTGGCATTGGATGCAATCCTAGGGACTTAAGTAAGAGTGAATTGGAACGTCTAACTCGGGTCTTCACTCAAAAGATCCATGATCTTATTGGTATACATACAGATGTTCCTGCACCAGACATGGGGACTAATGCACAGGTTATACAGTCCTCACTTTTGTGTTTCAATGTTTCATGTACTTTCGGTTTCTAAATCACAAATTTGTACAGACCATGGCATGGATTCTGGATGAATACTCAAAGTTTCATGGACACTCACCGGCTGTTGTTACAGGGAAGCCTATTGTAAGTGCTAAAGATAGATTTAATGCCATGGATCCTATTCGTAATGAATACTCAAAGGTTCAGAATAACAAAATCCTGATATACTTATACTGGAAATCTTAGGATCTTGGTGGATCACTAGGCAGGGAGGCTGCAACCGGGCGTGGTGTTGTATATGCAACTGAAGCTTTACTTTCTGAATATGGGAAGTCAATCAAGGGGATGTCATTTGTTATTCAGGTATAGTCTACATGATCTTAACATGGTTAGAACGTATTTCCCTTTGAGGTGCTTCGAAACTTCCTTTTTTAAATGATTAATATTAAGTTTCTTAGGGTTTTGGCAATGTGGGGTCTTGGGCCTCGAGGCTCATACACGAGAAGGGTGGTAAGGTTATTTTGGTGAGTGACATAACCGGTGCTATTAAGAATCCAAATGGAATCGATATACCAGAACTGCTAAAGCATAAAGAAGCTACTGGCAGTTTGAAAAGCTTCAGCGGCGGAGACTCCATGGATCTAAATGAAGTGCTTGTACATGAATGTGATGTTCTCATCCCATGTGCTTTAGGTGGAGTCCTGAACAGGTTAGGATCAATTTCCAAGCATACTGGTTCTAGCATCTCTGTATTAACTACTGCTTGGTCTGCTGTGTTCTAATTTAACTCTTCTTTTACCGAATCGTAGTTGGTATCATCTTATATCCCCATGATTGCTTCCCATACTGATTGTCTTACATATTGGGTTACTTATCTTCTCTTTTAAAGGGAAAACGCTGCAGATGTGAAGGCGAAGTTTATAATAGAAGCAGCAAATCATCCCACAGATCCAGAAGCAGATGAGGTAAACCCCCCCTTCCCCTTGTTTTCTGCTATTATAAGCAGCAAACATCTGACCTGAAGTTTCGATACTGCAGATTCTATCCAAGAAAGGAGTAGTAATACTACCCGACATATATGCGAATGCAGGGGGGGTGACTGTCAGCTACTTTGAGTGGGTTCAGGTATGAAAAACGTCTACTCTGTTCTCCATGTATCTTATATTTTGAAAATTTGTCCTTAATCTTTCATCTAATTTTGCAGAACATTCAAGGTTTCATGTGGGACGAGGAGAAAGTGAACACGGAGCTGAAGAAGTACATGACTCAAGCTTTTCATAACATCAAGAACATGTGCCAGACACACGATTGCAGTCTCCGGATGGGTGCGTTTACGCTTGGGGTGAACCGTGTAGCCCGTGCAACTATCCTTCGAGGATGGGAGGCATAAACCGCGTCTCGTTCGGGTTCTTATTTCTGTTTCTTCACCAGTATTAGTTTCTAGTCTGCATTGGAAAGCTGAAGCAATAGCTTTCCAGAATTCTTAGTTTTTCCCCCTGTGGAAAGCTCTTTTAACATATTTATTCTTCTCCCATTGATCGTTTATGAAACTTCATATATATATATAGGGGGATATTTTTTTCTTTACCAGCTTTGTATTTGGAATAATCACATTCAATGTGTTCAATATTCTTTCAAATTTACTTTTATTTTTTAACTGTTCATTACAATCATATATCAGTCCCCTACCGAATTAATACTTAAGTCACATTTTTTTTTAATTAGTTAGGTCTTTACAAAGTAGTATTTGTTCGGAATTTTTTTAATATATTGATCACATACACCCTACAGATGTAACTGTTCAAACCCAAAACCTCTAAGAAGAATAACCTTTGCTTTTATTACCGAGATAACTTGATGGGTTCCTTAAGCCACATAATTACCATGGTGCCTTGGCACAAGCTCTACAGTCTTGTAATGTGAAGTTTAGTGCAAATAAAAGTAGAATCCAATCTCAAAAGTTGAAGATACAGTTTAATTTACTTATTTTAACAATGACTTAAAATAAAATTTAATTATAAATTGAAAAAATGTTTAATTTTCATTGATTTTAAAATTGAAAGGGACTTAGTGCAAAAATCAATTTGGTAGTTGCACTAAAGAGTTGCAAAGTGATTGGGAATAGGAATATAAAAGCCCCCCTCATGTTATAGCTTAGGCATTAAGCATTCACTCTTCTTTTTATACCTCTCACAATAAACACGGTACATAATTGAAGTCTTTTTCATCCCAAATTTTGGTCTTGTGTTTTTATTAGTTACGTATCTCATCTTATGTCTTTTATGGTATTTCTACCTATGAAAGGTTGTAATATCCCAAAAATTCGGTTAGTGACTAAAATAAATAAAATGAAAATTTGGTGATTAAAGTATAAACTTAAGAAAAGTTTAGGGAACTAAAGTGATAATTTCCTCAAAAATACTTTTTATCATGTAAATGAATAGTTTACCCTAAGAATTTGGATTTAGGGTTACACGAATTTTTTATACGAAAAATTATGTTATTGATAGGAGTTGATTCCTGTTGGGAGACTCAGCCACCAAAACCATGTGTGCAACGCGGGTCGGTCCAGATTAGTAAAGGAAAAGCCTTGAAACGGAGGGGGGGGGGAATTATAAAGTGTTAAAATTTTGAGAAAAAATTGAATAATCAGATCGTATCGAAAAATTTGCTAGATAGTAAAGCAAGTATAAAAATGCCATTTTTCATGTTTTATAATGCTAGAGCTTAATTTGGACCTTTGGATTTAAAATAAATTTCATGTTAAATCTTAGTTATCGGATATAAAAGATTCTATTAATATTAAGACTTTTAAAAAGATAAAGTAGTAAGCCGAAGGTATTCGGAGGGCTAGGGTTGTTTGATATGAAAATAAAAAAAAAACGTTCTCTCTTGAACTAACTGTTATGAAGATTTGGAAGTCATTCAAGGAGTTTGTGGAGAAAAGTAATCTTGAAAAAATACGGATATGATCTCAGCTCGTTGATTCCAAGGCCTGTTAATCCTAAAAATCTTTTTTTGGATATGGACAAACATTTCCAGCCCCATTCTTGAAGCTGACGATATGTATACTCGTAATATTAGGCCCGATTCTTGAGTGGCTGTAGTTTCGAAATGTTTGTCAGCTAGTTGGGGTGTTTGTGTAAATTGCAAATTTTGGTGAAGCCTGGAATTTTATGAGGTCTGATTTTTGGAGCGGTGCAGGGATGCGGTTCGATTGTGCAGGTGTAGAGTTCGCAGGACCGTTTGTGGGCCATGGCTTTGAAGTATTTTGTTGAAGGAAAGCTGGATTTTCTTGCTAAGCTTTCGATTTTAGAGGTATGTTTTCCGGAATGCTTTCACTGAAAGTTTGGTGCTTATGCTCTTGATTTATATTTTGTTTTTGTATGCTTTGACTATATAAATCATACAAAACCTTTTTAAAGAAAAAATATTACAAATTACTAACTCCATAGTTTAATTTCAATCTTTGGAAGAATAATTGACAAGTGTCATAATTGGGAGCATTAGATCTCAAGAGTAAAATGATCACTGTAGACACTCGATCTTATCCTGATTTTTCAAAATTAATTTTGTTATTTATATTATGGGTTAATTATAATTATTTAATTAAATATAATGTAAATTATATCATTGACCACCTAACTATTGTCTTTTTCATTTTGATCATCTTTTTTGAGATTTTATTAATCAGATCACCAGCTATTTAAATGCATTCAATCAAGCCACTTACCATTAATATTTATCGGAAGTGGTGATGTAACCGTTAATAAAATTTGTGTAATTACACATTTATTCTTCATTGTTTATACATTCTATCAAATTAATCATAATTTTAAATTGATTTAATATATTTAATCTTCTAATTATTTGACGGCACGTGTCACGACATCATTAGAAGGTTTTTTCTTAATTTAATTTATTCCTCTAACTAGAGTCTCCAAGGAGTTAAGCTGCCTCTCTACCACTGCACCAACAACAATGTTTGACAAAAGTTTCACAAAATTTCTTATTTGACTTATATTATAAGGAATGCCAACAAATTGAAAACAAAAATAACAATAAAACAACTCGAACGATCGACTTATTACGAAATATAATTTTTTTTACACTTGTAATACAAAAAAAATATTATTAACTAATTAAAAATAGTAAATTTAACATAAAAATATGAAATTTATTTTATTTTAAATCTTATTTTAACTATATTTTTAAATATATATATATATATATATATATATATATGTAACATGCATTTAATTATTAACTAATAAATGCATATGTTTTGTTTTGTTTGGTTTTATTTTTTGGATATTTCATAATAAGTCAAGATTTTGAGTCGTTAAACATTAATTTATACAAGATTAAAAGGATTATATTTTAATTAATAAAAACTTCAAATATGTTTCTTTACTAGATTTGTATTTGGAATAATGACATTCAATGTGTTCAATATTCTTTCATCTTTTTATAAAAGAAAAGATATCCAATGTTTTAAGTGTTTATTACAACTATATATCAGTTCAACTGAATTAATACTTAAACCACATAATTATCTTTTAACTGTTCGTTCCAATCTTATATTGTAGCGTATTTCACTTGTAATCAAAGGATTAATTTTCATCAACAATCCATTATGATCTATCGACGAAAAGTTCTATTAACCATGCCCATGGTTAGAGATTATGAATTAAGTGGCTAATAGTATAATGTATTGAGAATATGCTTATGCATTTCAAAGAAGTGCTATTTTGAATCTGTGGATTGTCCCATTTTTGAGCATCTATGCTATTCAAGTGAATAAGGATTTTTTCATATAAATTCCGTTCCCGAGTTGACGATGCTTCTAAACTGTCACAGGTTGCCTTATTTTGTGCATGCATGGGAGGAATCATTTACTACTTAGAATATGAGCCAGATACTATGGCCCCTTTCCTTCGGGGTCTAATCCGCCGGTTCCTTGCTAGCAGAATAAGCAATCCTGGCCCATCGGTTAGTCGGACAGCTTCCTACACCTACTTGCAGACTCTTGATGCCATAAAGAATCCGGAAGTAGAGGATAACCAAGTGTTGGAATCTTCAACTCCTAAACAATACAACCTTGAATCTATACCAGGGCTCTAAGCACCTATCATGTGTATTCGGCAGTGACATTGTTATATGATGAAAAGTATAAATCTTGTGCAAAGAACTGTAAATGACATCACTTGCACTCTGTTATTTCAACTTTCTTATCGATTAAGGGTTTATTTTAATTGCTCCTCTTGATATACTAGCAGACAGATTTTAGTGGATCTAGATTTTATCATTGGCCAGGAGACTTAAAACTTGATAGGTTGTTTGGTTCACAAGATGTGAGATTATTTTTTAGAATAAGATTATCGAAGTATTACATTACTTAATATATTATTGAGACTGTATTATTATCTCGATTGGTTTGTTTAGAGGAATATAAGATTATAGTGTTTGGTTGAAGGAATATAAGATAGGAAAAATATATGTTTTACCAAATTATTCTTGAAATAGATTTTCTTTTTTAACAAGTTGAATTCCTCAATATAAAACTCAACATATTTATGAAAGCTCATAAAAAATTATTATTTCTAATTTATATATTCTTTTAACAAAATTTTTGTACACAAATAACTAAATATATACTTTTTTATTTTTCTAAAAATATAAAAATATATTTATATCAATATAATTATGTGTTTATTTTAGATATTGGAATATGTACATACTTGCACGGGTAAGTATGTGTTAATTGATACATTTTGTTATTTTATTCATACTACATGTATGAGTCGTACAACAAAATATTATATCAAATTATTTGATAACATTAATGAAAAAAATATAATATAATTTTTTTTATGAAAATTAATCCTAAAAATTAAACGTAATAAAACACATAATTTTTTAAATCAAACGCATACATAATAAATAATCAAAGTAATATATATATATATATATATATTATTTTTATTTTATATGCACCGTGTCATTTTATAATGAGTACTAAAGAAATATGAAACCATTTTAAAAAGCAATAAAATAGATTTATACTCATGTAATTACATATAAAAGGGAGGATCATTTTATCAATAAAAATATTATTTCAAGGGTATTATTGTTTTAAGGGGAGAGAATTGTTGAATACCTAAGAAAAGTAAAAGAATGACATTTTTGAGAAAAGACCTCCAAAATTGTTATTATAAGGGTGCGTTTGGTTCATGGAATGTAAGATTACCAATGGGAATAAAAGATTACCAGGGAATAGGATTACTGGGAATGTTGTGTTTTGTGTTTGGTTGGTTTAGTAGGAATGTAAGATTACCGTGTTTTATTAAAGGAATAAAAGATTATTGGAATATATATTTTACCAAATTGTCCTTATTATATATTTATTTTTTTAACAAGTTGAAAAATATTTATATATTTTCTTTAAAAAATTTAAATTCATAAAATTTATATAATTTTTTTTACAAAATTCAAAATATAAAAAGGTTTAATAAAATGGTAAAATTTTATTTTAACCCCTGAACTTCATATAAAATTTTAATTATAGACTTTTTTTTGTAAATCTAAAATAGTTTAAGGATAAATTTGTAATTGAACCTTCGTAGAATTTTTATTATTCAATGACAGAATAAGAATATTTTTTAAAGAAATTTTTTTTAAGGGCATTTTAGTCCAAAACGCTGGTAATCCAACAATACCTAAGGAAAGGGAGGTAATGACATTCCCGGTAATATACCCCAAAAAATTCACTATTGGTAATGTAAGATTACCAGGAATGACATTACCGGCCAACCAAACGGGGGAATGTGGATTCCATTCCCATGGGAATCTCACATTCCCCCAACCAAACACACCCTAAATAATATTTTATTACTCTGAGTAGGCCTGTAAATGAACTGAACGTTTAGCGAATCGTTCATGAACCGTGCGGCAGGAAGTTCATTTATGTGCGTTTATTTATTAAATGAACGAACATGAACATAGGTCTCGTTCGTTCATTTACTTTCGTGAACGTTCGGTTATGTTCGTTTATGTTCGTTCGGTTATGTTCGTTTATGTTCATTCATTTATGTTTAACCCAATCTTCTCAAATCAATTTTGGTGACCAATTTGTAAGTATCTTAAAAATATTAATTAATATGATATTCTGATGACCAACTCCATAATTAACCCAATTTTATTTGGAAAACCCAACAATATTAACATGGTTTAGTTCTTTTTGAACGATCCATAAGCTGCATACCCAGCACCGTCAACATCCACTGTGCCAGAACCCTATGTGACTGCACCACCAGCTGGTTATCCGATGAGCAAAGAGGAGTCCCAATTTTCAACTTCTACATAGCACGAAGCTAATGACATGTTTGTTTGATCCCCAAGGATTAAGGTCGGCAATCATATGAAACACAATCTGTGTTCATCTCGACTGTTGTTGAAGGAGAGAGGAAGAAAGAAAGTGGAGGAACGTTATGCAATCCCACATCAGTAGCAAACAACCAGCTCGGGGTTGGTAACTTATATAAAAGAAGATGGGGGAGAATAGGTTTAAGCATCTTTGCGCTTTGGGCAATGTCGAGCTCAGAATCGAGCTTGAATTGAGCTCAGAATCGAGCTCGAGTCTCGAGTTTTAATCGAGCTCTTAATTTTTTTTTGAGTTTGAGCCTTTTCGAGTTCGAGTCGAGTTTCAATATTATATTTCGAGTTCGAGTCGAACTTGATAATTTTAAGCTCGCGAGTTTTCGAGTTAAGCTGACTTTGAAAGTTTTCTAGTTCGAGTCGAGCTCAGCAATACTCGAGCTTGACTCGGTTCATTTACACCCCTAGGTAGGGTCTCCAACGTTTATGTTTGTTTATGTTCGTGTTCGTGTTCGTTTATGTTCGTTTATTTATTAAATGAACGAACATGAACAAGTTATATTCCTTAATAAACGAACATGAAAAAAAAAAATTATTCGTTTATGTTCGTTTATTTATTAAATGAACGAACATGAACATACATCCGTTCGTGTGCGTTCGGTTCGTTTACAGGCTTAACTCCGAAAGAGAATACTCTTAAACTAAATATGAGTATGTATTTTTAAATAATTTTTCTCCATAAAAATAATTTTTTCCACAAACTAAACACCGCTGTATGTTTTTACAGTCAATTCCACCAAATTTACTTGTACAATTCGGATGCCGGTAAAGAAGCAGGATACATAGGGAAAAGACCAATAGACAGATTATAACTGAACAAGCATTAAGTAAAAGAACAATATCTTACCCGTTTAGAAACTGAAGCTTTTGGCGATTGGCGAAGAATTGTTGCTACAAAGTCAATCTGGTTAACGCTTATAGATAGGGATAATCGTACTATGGAGTTAAATTAAAATTTTTTGAGTTACTCGAATTAATTTTTTATTTAAAATTTAATTATAAATATTTATAATATTATGATATTATTGATTTTAATTTAAATAGTTTTATATAATCATATATAATACATATAATTTAATCGTATAGAGTCGTGGGATTTGATTCAAACTTAAAAACTAATACAATGATTATTAAAAAAATTGAGTTACTCAAATTATTATTTGAGTTGTATTTTATAATTCAACTCAAATTTAAAATATTTTCAAGTCATTAATTTGAATTGAATTTATGAAATTACAAATCAAAATCAATTCAAATCAAATTTTTTAATAGAATCAAGTTAAAATAATCTATTTGAATCGTATTTTGTTAACCCCTAATTATAGGAACTGTCCTGAAGAGTGGTGGGGGAGGATTCTATGTAGGATTTGAAACAAGATATGATGGGTACCTTGGGCAACACAAGGAGAAGAGACCGGCATCATCTTTTAGGCTCTCCTAGGGACTGCCATCAAATCATTTTCAAATCATGATGGGTACCTTGGGCAAGACAAGGAGAAGAGATCGGCATCATCTTTTAGGCTCTCCTAGGGATTGCGATCAAATTAAGACCTTCAGTTATTCTTGTAGTCGATAATACTCAAACATCTTTTAATTTTACGTAGATTTGAGATTATTGGATGATTGAAAATAAATGATTGAGATTGACTTATTATTTTTTTTAGTAAATATCTTTTCATTTCATATTGTTAATCTCGTATATCTATTTTCACTAATCCAATGGTCCTAAATCTTTGTAAAACTAAAAGAGTTTTACATTGTGTAACATGATCATATATAAACATGGTTTTATTTGTGATTGAAAAATTTATTAACTTAACAAAACTAATAATTTGTAAATGTACAAATTAAATTTATTACAATTTAGTACACTAAAATTACAATAAAATCAACTAAATAAATTTATGTTAAAATTTAAGCTCTCAGATCTTATAGCAAAAGTTTTACAAGACTAAAAGCTCGACTTTGTTACCAGAAATTTCTTCATCGAGCTTTTATTTATCTCAAAAGATCTATATGCCACCAACGTGATTAAATTATGGGCAACTTTTCAATTTTAAAAGCCAAAATGCCACCAGCATAATTTAACAGTGAGTAACTATTTAGATACAAATTTACATCAATTTATTTAGTCAGACCAACAACAACAATTTATAAGACAACAATCATCAATTCAACATTCAGACTAGTCCAGTTAACCCAGTCCAATCCAATTAGTGGTAAAGCCAAGGGGAATAAGATGACCAACAATACCAAACATTTCTTACTTGACCAAACTCTTACAACCTATAGCACCGAATCAAGTAGAACCATTCAAAAACTATTTCAAATATGTTTGTGTAAGTCACCCTAGAAAAAAAAACATAACCATTAATAAACCATTTCAAATACTAGTGAAATTTATAAATATAAAGAATGGAGTTACCTTCAAAGGGATGAATCAAGATAGAATGATTCACAAACCAATTCAAATGTACTAACTGTAATGACACCCTACAAGCAAAAAAATCATTAATAAATTATTTCAAATATTAATGAAATAAACATAATAAAATAAAATAAATCATATATTTACCTTTACAGGAAAAAATTATTAACTACAGTAAGATAATCATCATCTATTTCCTCCGGTTTAAAACTATGCAACCAATTACAAGTTGTTACAAAAATCTCAATATTTTTAGGTGAGAGTTTAGGTCTTAACTTGTTCAAAATTCACCCCCATAATAAAGGAATATTTAAAAGCAATTGAAGTAACTTGAATAACCAATATATCTCTCGACATGCGAGAAAGTACCACATAAAAAACACTTTTTGTTTTCTAATACTCCAAAAATATCAAACTAGACATCTCCAATACAAAGGATAAGGGGCAAATTAATGTAGGATTCAATATTCGATTTTCCACTCCTTGAAGCAACCAAATTGTCGTCAAATTTTTGAAAAGACCAAGAAAATAAAATAATTAAATTATGAAAACACAATACAATTAATTAAAATAAATTAAATTATAAAAAATAAATTATGAAAATTAATCTGAAATAGATCATATTTTTTAAACGACCGAGGCCGATTGGAACATGACTTACTTCTCTCTAGAGATGTATTACTTTGGACAGAAAAAAGAACCACGAGGTGCATATTTTGAATAAAAAATATATAAATCAACAAACTCATTATATATAACACTTACCCTCCGTCGAACTTCGTCCTCTACATAAAGAACATTGTACAATTCCTTCAAAAGTTGTAATTTATTTCGAGGATCAAGAAAAACAGAAAACGACACAACCATTGAGTGATAAGACTAGCATTTCTCATATAATTCAAGCATAGGTCATGCCATTGCAGAAATACCTTGACAAAGATCATTGTGAGTATGCCACAACAACTTTTCAATTGTAACAACGTTAACCAAGTACAAGTTAGAAGTAGAATACTTAGATCTAGAGAATAAAGTAATAATTTCATAAAATGGCTCAAGATAATCGCAAATTATTTGAACAATTTCTCACTCATAATTACTAATCATATCCAAGTCATTTTTCCTATTAACAAATAAGTTAATGGCTAATTTAGCTTCAAGTTCCCTATGAATCATTGAGTAAGTAGAATTCCATCGAGTATGAACATCCAATAACAATTTACCACGAAAAGAAGAATCACAACCTTTAACATCTAATTCAAAGACACAAAGTCGAGAACAAGAAGAATCAATAAACTTAACAGTTTTACGCAATTTAATAACAGGAGAATCAATTACCTTCAAACCTTTTTAAACTATCAAGTTCAAAATGTGGTCAACATTTCTTACATGAAAATACTTACCATTGCATGGAAGTGGAGAAATGACATTCAAATCCATCTTTAAATCGCTTAACTATTTTATCATTTTTAGAAGCATTCTCAAAAGTTATTGTAAAAGTTTTGTTTTTCAAGGCCACACTCGTATATCATTTTTTCCCACAAATTTGAAAATTAACTCACCATGATAGGGTGGAGAAAACAACAAAAATTCAGTATTTTAGACTGGAGTTTCCAATTATTATCAACATAATGTGCAGTAAGAGTAACATAAAAATGTGAAGTGCAAGCAGACCATCAATCACATATAAAACAAATATGATTTGAAACAAAATGCATTGAGTAATGTAGATATTTTTTATACTTTTCATGCTCTAACATACAATGCTTACTAATAGTATACCTCGAAATAACTTTCTCATTAGCTTTAAGGTAATGATGTAAAATCCTAAGTTTTTCATACTCAACAATACTCTAAGCATAACCATGACACAAAATAGCCCCATTAAACAATTCACAATATTTATTTTAATAAAAAGAACTTACCATACCAGGATTTTCAACAAGTTAATCTTTATATACTTGACATTTATCAATATGACTTTTAGGGTTAGATGTACCAATATAAGAATTAACTTTATACCTTTTGATTTTGCAATACATATACTCATCATAAAGATTACCATTAGAAGACTTGATGAAGGTGTAATGGTCCCAAACAAGAGAAGTTCTTATCCAAAACTTAGATGAATTTGTAGCATTCATCTTAAAGAAAATAATACCAAAAACTAATTCGGACAGTCGATCATTTATATTCCCTTGAAATAAAAAACGAGTATATGTTAATAAATGTATAAAAAAGAAACAAAAACCAAAAAAACTTTATTTACCTTTTTCAGATTGTTGATCATACTGCTCTCTTTGTAGTTCTTATGCACAAGAGAGAAAATAATATTTGTTAGAACTTAGAAATAACAAAAATATATATATATATACCATTATTACCTAGAAAGTTAAACTTGTAAGATTGACTATCTATCGAACCTTTAAAAATGAAAGGATTTGACTGAATAAATGAAAAAGAATGTGGACAATTTGAGAGAGAATGTGAGGAACAGAAGATGATAAGTCAAGAACAAAATGTGAGAAGTTAGGAATAAAAGGTGAACGGTTTGTTAGAGAATATGCTTTTGGGATGGTTCAGAAGTAATGGGAAATTCTCTAAAATTTTCTCCCATTCATCTTCTCCAGAATTCTTTCTCGAAAGCGGCTGCTGTCTTCACGCTAGAGAAAGGGATTTCTATGGCCATCAAATCTATTCTCATGGAGTTCTGAAGCAAGATTTATGGATTTTTTTTATTGGTGTTAGATTTGAATTTAAATCATGCTGCAATTTATGATTTTATCCGCCTCCAGTCCCGTCTATGATTCTTTAGAGTGGTTCTTGTAATTCAGATTATCTGTCAATGATAGGAGGAGACGCGTTGGCTCGAGAGATGCCGTTCTTCTCCACCAACCTTTTTTTTTAAAGGATTCAATGAAAGGTAAGTATTTTCTTTTAGGGTTTTTGCTTATATTATTTGTTAGACTGGTAGCCTCTGTGATGATGTTCATGATCCACAGGTATGGTGTTTTACCAGTCTTATTTTTAGCGTCAGGATATTTTTATTTTACATGTATGGTAGTTATCTGGTTAACCTGATTTTAGTCTTCCATGGAACTTAAGTTTATGTTGTGATGTCTGATAACTCTCCAAAAGAGTTATTATTTAGAGCCTTTTTACTTAGGTTAAGCTAGAACTTTAGCACATTTAGGATCACACTTAGAATAATTTTAGCATATTTTACATAATTTGCATATCGGGAGAGAATTGTTGATACTTGGGCATATTTTGATGATTTTGTTGTGAATTTGCTAATTCGATGTTGTGACTTTATCTGATGTTGTAGGTGTTGTTGTGAGCTGATACGAGACAAAATTGTTGATTCGTTACTGTAGCATTTGACTTATCAACAGGCAGTTAGGGAAATTTTAGGAATCGATTAGCTGCTAAAGATAAGTCTGGAATTTGAATTTTATTAGCTACTAAAGGTAAGGCTAGAATTTGAATTTTAAATAAAAGGAAATTTAGAAAAAATGGAACTTTTCTATTGGTGGAAAGTTTGACCCTAGGTTATAAATACAATATTTTCTTCATCTCTTGGAACCCAAATTTTTCCACAGCCTCCTTTTATTTTTCTATTTTACCACCTTCCATGGAAGGCTAAACCCACCGCCGGGGAGTGCAGCAGCAGTAAGGGAGCGACGACGCGTAGCAACAACGGTAAAGAGGATTCAACTTTATTTTCCATCATTTTGTTAAGATAGGGAAGTTATGGTTGTTTAGTTGAATCCTATTCCATCTTGAATGATATTTGGTTCTTGAACATAAGGTGTTTAATTAAATGTTTTTGCTTTTTTTTTTATATTTAAACTTTGTTTTCATGTGCTGACGTACTTATGATATAATTTTAGAGATGAAATTGTCTCTATGTATGTTATTTCTATGATTTTTAGAGATGAATTTTATGGATTTTTCATACTACTTTAGTGCAGTTTAGGAGTTTATTAAGAGAAACGTTTGATATATAGAAATATATACTTCCAATTGTCGAGCATTGCCAACTTTTTAATGAAATTGAATTAGTGAAGATTGATTCTTATTAATTAAATGATGTTAATCTTTGTGAGACACATAAATGCACTGTCTTGAGTATATGCTGAGTAAAAACTGTCAAATAGTATCCATATATATTTAATCATTGATCAGTTGCTCTCCTGAATATTATAGCACTGTATGAAATTTACCAATATGATTTTATTATTTTTTTGTTGACTCTTTATTCGCTCATTACAATCAATTTTCTATTATTATTTTATACAACTCTTCTGTAAACTTTTAGCTCTCCGTGGGTTTAATATCTGAAGCTTAACAACTTCCACTTTATTACTTGATACGATAGTGTATGCTTACACTGTGCTGTAGCATTATTATTATCAGTATTAAGTTTTTGGCGCCATTGCCGGGGAGCAATAACTTTACATTAGAGAATCTAACCACAATCAAGCAAACATGGATAATCAAGTACCTGGTCACAATGCTCTATCACCATTACACCATGCTGAAGATGGAGAATTGCCGCCTGGAAATGGAGTTAAACAACAATAATTTTACAATATGAATGACCACAATCGACCCATTATAGAACACATTGTACCAACCGTAGACGATTTACATCATGATGTTATACGGCCAGCAATCCAGGCTGTGAACTTTGAGTTGAAGCCGGTGATGTTTCAGATACTTCAATCTATGGGGCAATATAATGGTTCATTCACCAAGGATCTGAGAGGACACCTTCAATCATTCATGGAGGTGTGTGATTCCTAAATACAATAAGGAGTTATTGAAGAAGCTCTGAAGCTGAATTTTCCCCTTAATTGTTGCGAGACAAAGCTAGAGCATGGCTCAATTTGTTGTCTCCGAGTGCTATATCATCTTGGAATAAATTAGCACACAAGTTTTTGATGCGCTTCAATCCGCCCAATATGAATGCGAAGCTGAGGAATGACCTTACATCCTTTAAGTATCTGGAAGAAAAAAGTTTATATGAAGCTTGGGAGCATTTTAAGGAGTTACTTAGAAAGTGTCCAATGCATAATTTTCCCCATTGAACACAAATAGAGATGTTTTATAATGGTAATGCAAGCACGTTTTCATCTACAAAGGGAGTACTTTTGAACATCTTTATATTGAATTTACTTGTTACTAGCTTTATAATAAATGCTATTATAATACATTTTATGATAAGAATATTAGTTATGTAACTTAGTATGGACACATCATGCACATTGTTATTTTAATATGTTAAGTATGTTAGAATAATCTTATAATCATATTAAGCATGATTATCACATATACATTAAGGCAACATACTAATTATACATTTCATCAGTTCATATGCATTCATATTAACTCTTAAGCTTTATGCATTAGTTCACACATATTATGAGATGATATAATTAGCTCATGGCCTTCAAACTTAGCTCACATTACTATAATCAAACATAGCAACAAGGTATTTAGCTCTTCTTAGCTCAATATCATGGACTTACCTTATTTCCTTGCACATATAGGTACAATGGAGTGTGATGAACGTTGAGGTAGCTTGGTGGATGATTTGGACATCATATGCAGCTCATAAATAGCTCACAAAGTACATGGCAGCTCATAGAACACTAAGGAAAGCTCAATTCAGCTGGAGGAGCTCAAGGCTAGCTAAACTCAGCTAGTTGGACTATTTGGAGCTAAGTTGCCACAAGTGATATCAATGGTAGCTGAATGTAGCTGAACATATTGTTATGGAGCTCACAAAGACTCGGCTAAGAAGATTATTCACAAAACAACCCATACTTGCTAGCTAGCTCCACAACTCAAGCTAGCTTGGAGGAGACATGTGCACGCCCAAGAGGGAACATATGACCAGCCATCATCCCATGCACAAGGCTATACCACAAGGCTCCCTAGAATACCCATGTGCGTGCCATATTACCAGCCCCCATGTGCCATGCATATGATCTCATTTAGGCGCCAAGATGAAGAGCAATTTAACCATTCGGCCAATCATCATCTCCTCTCCCATTTGGTGCCAATTTGAAGGGATACAAGTGTTATTCGGCCAAGGATCATTTCCTTCCATCAAGGGCCAAACCATCATCTCTTTTAGCATTTAAATTATGTCTTTATAGGGAGATACATGGGATGGTAGAACCATTATGTCTCTATTCGGCCATGCCCCTCCATTTACTATAAATAGGAAAGCATATCTCAATTGTACGGAGACCTTTTTGATTAATATAAGTGAGATTATTCTCTTCCTTAAGTCCTAGTGACTTTTATCGACTTATCAAGTATTTTATACTTGTGGCGTCAACCTCTTTCTTTTCACCTTGATACTTTTGGTTCCTAGTTCATATAACTAGTGGGCCAAAGAACTTAATACCACCCCTTGAAGAAGCAATATAAAGTATGGGTCTTTCCTCTCTATAGCATTGGTTTTTCTTTGAGACTTCTTCAAGATACTATCTTCACTACCATCCCTTTGTTTCATCAGCCATAACCATAGCCATATCAACCATCTTCCGCTTCCATCTCTCATTTTAAATAGCCCACCTATTCACCATACGTCTACCACCCTTAACCCTATCTTTTTGAGCCATTCACTTCTGCAGGTTGTTTTGCTTCCTTCCTAGATCCACAATCAATTTGTTAAGGTACAAATGCATTACATCAAGCGATAATCAGAGCTTTGGTGGAAGAAATCAATGTGCAACAACAACAAAAAGAAAAATACAAAAAGAAGTGCAAAGTTAAAGAAAGCAAGAAAAAATCAGAAATTGAAAGCACTTAAAAAGAAGAAAAAGAAATAAAGAAAAGTTGGAAGCACTTATCAATAATTCTCATCACCAAGCCATTCAAGTAAGCCTTTAAATTTGATTGTGGTGATAGAAGGTTATGAAGTGAATTGTGTAAGTAACCCCTTTGTTCTATTCTTTCTATTTTTCTAAGCCACCCTTTCAATTATATTTTGCTTTCCATTCCTACTAACCCTTTTGCAGCCGACGCCAAACAAGTAAAATTTACTTGATACAGTCTTGAGTAAAGTTCTCTAGAACTTGGGACAAGAGAATCGAGAGGAAAAAGGCTAGAGTGTGTGAGATCAGAAGAGGACAAGTAAAAGCCTTAAAGTCCTAGAGTGCAAACACGAGTGGATTGAGTGACATCAAGTTTACTTGGAGTGACTCGTGAGGCTTTATGTGAGTATATTCTGGTAAGGTCTTTTACACATCTTATTCTTTTCTTATTTCACTAACCATGTCTCGGAGTCTAGGAAGAACCCCAGAAAGAGAAGGCCCTAACTTGCAAACACAAGCCATTATGCATGAAATGGCAAGATTGCTGAAATTAGAATTGGAGCCTTTGCATGATCGTATGGATCAATTTGAAGCATCCTTAGGCAACCGGAGAGTAAATTGCCCTAGAATGGAAGAAGAATTCGAGGAGGAGGAGGCTAAAGTAATATCAGTAGCAAGAAGAGATGTTCATCGAAATCAAAATGACAACTTCAACAACATTAAGGTAACCATTCCTCCATTTCAAGGACGAACTAATCCTGAAGCCTATCTTGACTGGGTAATCAAGATCGAACATATTTTTGAATGTCAAAACTATACGGAACAAAAAAAGGTCAGGCTTGCTGCTTTGGAATTCGTGGACTATGCCCTAGTATGGTGGGATCAATTGGTGAGTTCAAGAAGACGAAATGGTGAACGTCTCATCACTACGTGGGAAGAAATGAAGGCTATTATGAGGAAAAGGTTCGTGCCTACTCACTATCACAGAGATCTCCATCACAAGCTACAAAATCTTAAACAAGGGAGCAAGAGCGTTGAAGATTATTTCAAAGAAATGGAGACAGCCATGATCCGAGCCAATATGGATGAAGATAGAGAAGCAACAATGGAAAGGTTCTTATCTGGCCTAAATCTTGATATTGCTAACCTTGTTGAACTTCAGCATTATGTAGAGATTGAAGAGATGGTACATGTGGCCATGAAAATTGAACGACAACTTAAAAGGAAAACCTACAATCGGAGCAGTCCAAATTTGACCACCAAATGGAAGCAAGAGCCTAATACCTTCCGTAAACCAATTCCAGCCCAAGCAAAGGATCCTATAGAAATTACCAAGACTAAACAAGTGGGCGAATCTAGAAAGGGTAAAGAAAAGCAAACCATCACTTTCGAGAGGTCCAGAGACATCAAATATTTCAAGTGTTTTGGGAAAGGACATCTTGCTAGTCAATGTCCCAACCGAAATGCCATGATGGTACTTGACAATGGAGATATTGTCTCATATTCTGAATACCCTATTTATGATGAGGAACCTGAAACAATACAAGACGAAGAATCTGAAGAAAATGCAGACCATGGAGAGATGCTTGTTTTGAAAAGGTGCCTACAATCACAAATATCTCAAGAGGATCTTCAAAGAAACAATATTTTCCATACAATGTGCCATGTCAAAGATAAGGTTTGCACAATGATTATAGATGGAGGAAGTTACAAAAACGTAGCCAGCACTCTTATGGTTGAAAAACTTAATTTGGCAACATCAACGCACCCCACTCCATATAAACTCCAATGGCTCAATGAAGGAGGTGAGTTAAACGTTACCAAACAGGTTCTAATTCCTTTTTCAGTTGGTAGGTACAAGGACGAGGTGCTTTGTGACATTGTCCCTATGCATGCTAGCCACATCTTACTTGGAAGACCATGGCAGTATGACAAAATGGCCATTCATGATTGTTATCACAATCAATACACTTTTAAGCATGATGAGCGCAAGGTAACCTTGGTGCCTTTAACGCCTAAAGAAGTACAAAAAGATCAATTGCATATGCAAAAGAGTGTACAAGCATGGCGCAAAAACAAAACCCCAACGAAGAATGAAGAGGAACGAAACAAGAAACCAAACTTCTTCATAAAGAAAGACGATGGTTCAATGCTGAAAAATGAAGGGTCTCTTACGAAAAATGGTGATGGTTGGGACTTAAAGTCACAATTATTCACCAATGGTTTTAATCTTCAAAAGGTAAGTACCCCTTCATATGAAACCTTTTCTCTTCCCACTTTTCAGGACCAATCACGTGAAAGGTCACTTCCAAAAGGGATATCCCTAGATAAAGATCATTCTCAAAAAGTACCTGTTGGAAAATCATATTCCAAAGAAAGACCTAAAGGGAAATCTTACGAAAGGGAACCTAATGGAAAAACACAAACGTTCAAAGGATGCTTTCTTTTAGCAAAGAGATGTGAAGCTATGCAGGGACAGAAAGAACTCAATTTGAGGACAAATCGCCCTAAAGAAGGGGGGATGATGCAAGCACGTTTTCATCTACAAAGGGAGTACTTTTGAACATCTTTATATTGAATTTACTTATTACTAGCTTTATAATAAATGCTATTATAATACATTTTATGATAAGAATATTAGTTATGTAACTTAGTATAGACACATCATGCACATTGTTATTTTAATATGTTAAGTATGTTAATCTTATAATCATATTAAGCATGATTATCACATATACATTAAGGCATCATACTAATTATACATTTCATCAGTTCATATGCATTCATATTAACTCTTAAGCTTTATGCATTAGTTCACACATATTATGAGATTATATAATTAGCTCATGGCCTTCAAACTTAGCTCACATTACTATAATCAAACATGGCAGCAAGGTATTTAGCTCGTCTTAGCTCAATATCATGGACTTACCTTATTTCCTTTCACATATAGGTACAATGGAGTGTGATGAACGTTGAGGTAACTTGGTGGATGATTTGGACATCATATGCAGCTCACAAACAGTTCACAAAGTACATGGCAGCTCATGGAACACTAAGGAAAGCTCAATTCAGCTGGAGGAGCTCAAGGCTAGCTAAACTCAACTAGTTGGACTATTTGGAGCTAAGTTGCCACAAGTGATATCAATGGTAGCTGAATGTAGCTGAACATATTGTTATGGAGCTCACAAAGACTCGGCTAAGAAGATTATTCACAAAACAGCCCATACTTGCTAGCTAGCTCCACAAC